CGTGATACCCCCCAGCACAGTAAGTATGAGGAGAGTAGCACATTCCAAAAAAGTAAGCAAATTAAGAAATAATTTGCTTACTTTCTGCAATGCTTCTTTCTCTATTCCAATGCGCGTTCAGATTCCTGTGTCACATTTACGTCTTCTGTTTAAACACTTTCGAGATAATTAAATTCCTGTGCATTGTTGATTCTAACATCTCCAATTCAGAGACTACACCTTTGACGGCTTATCTTACTGACGGCCATACTTTCCGTCTTCTTCCAGTTAAAAGTGAGTCCTTGTTTCTCATGTTACTTTTCTACCTTTTTTTAAGATTCCATGCAGTTTTCATTCTGAGTCTAACATCAAGACAGTGCCATTGAAACCACAACGGTAAATATCGAACTCTTTAGCAAGGATCTGCGCGAGTTAACTGTAGCTCTGCTTGAGGCAAACGTTCGATATTTATCAAGTTCAGAGCAAGCATAACATTAACGCGTGTAATCAGAATTACAATCACGTGTGATGATGGGTAGGAAAAGCTGTTCGTACAACATTACAGTAGCACATGCTCCTTAGATATTTACTCAATTCACCTTAACTTGGCGGAAGTCTGTTAACTGAACTTCCGGTCAGAATAAGAATACCTTACTAACTGTCGTAGTCATACTTGAAATATAATGTTAGTGCGTAAATGCACTGAGAGAGATTAATTATATATAATGACATCGAATTAAAACTTTTAATCAATGAAAATAATATATGTCGTTTACAGGCCTTTAAAAAATACTTGAGGATTTTTTTATGAAAGACCAATGTTTACCTATAGATTTAAAAATCAAATTTTGAAAATAAATAACCGAAAAAGCGTAGACATAAAATCCACCAAAACTACAAAAAAAAACATTCCTTAATATTTTTAACCCTTTGAGCTTTGACCACCGCTTAACCGGTGGTAAAGAAAATAGCGGAATGCCAAGCTACCGGTTGAACAGTGGGCAAACACTTGTAACTATTTTTTATATCTAGCGTGATACATGACATACCAATTAATTTGACTCAGGAGCTCAGGTAGAAGGGCTAAAATGGTTCAGGAACGCCGGGATCAAAAGGTTAAAACCAGCATTAGCTTTTCTAAATATAATTGTCTTTGTTTTCTTGTTCGTGTCATTCATTATTGAACAGCCAACTGCGATAAAATAAAAAGATTTCTTCGGCTAATCTAAAATAGTGGTTTGATCCAGGACAAAATTGAATATCTCAATCTACACCGTTGTGCAAATTAATTAAAAGAAAACAAATAATTCCGTTATTATTTACTTTTTTTCCTATTTTTCCAATGAAACATTTTTTTTGTCCATTTGACGAAATTGTCCCTTGCAGATTCTCGATTGGAGTTAAATCAGGAGAGTTTCCGTATCAGTCTGTAGTACTTTGATTTGTTCACTGGTCAATATTCGTACGCTTCCTTGGAGTAAAGTCCATCGCAGACAATGGCTGTAGGACAACTAATCGGCAGTCGAGACAATAGTGTCAGGGTGTGATGAAAATCTTATGCAATCACGGTTGACGCAATATTTTTCAAGGCCAAACAAATTTCATCATACACCCCGAAAATAGATTCATATTACTACACACCACTGCAAATGACTTAATCTGAGGAAAAAATAGAAAATAGATTGCGCTTTATCACTCCAATGGGTCTGTGACGTCCCCCGGTGTCGCTGCGCCAATCGTGACGTCTGCCTGGCTGCGCCGCCGTGCTGTCCTGTCCACGGCGCCAGTTGTGATGTCACCCCGTCTGTCTCCGCGCCGTCGCCGTCCTATCCCGTCCCGTGACGACCAATGTGACTTGGTATTGGTCACGGCACCAAATGTGACGTTCTAACCTTTTGCTGATTCGGATGGGAATCTGGTTAGATTCGCTATCAGCCTTGTCGTTCCCAGCTCGCCTCCAACGTCTGGTTACCGAAGTAACTGTTTTGATTTCTAGTCTAACTTACCCACGTTCTGATTTGATCTTAGGTAGACGAAACCAATCAGTCGGCGGGCCGTAATGCAAGTCGAGTTCGAACAAGGGTGATATCGCACAAGTATATGTAAAAGAAAATAAAGTAATAACTCGAAAAGTTCAAATGTGTTAAAAAAGGATAACAATATTTTATATTTGGTTGCTGAATACAGGACTGTCCTTCCTCCCAAACCGCTAATATGGATTTGTGACACATTGTGTTTGTTAGGCGAGTCTTAAAATCTTAAGTTGTTTGTTCTTTAGGAAACTGGTTCTTGGTGTATCTTCAGGCGATATTCGTAAAACTTGTTTTGGTGGTGTGAGTCTAAGTCGTTCTTCAAAAATAAATTGTTCTTGGTTAGAAGATGAGTCGTGATTTGCGTGGAATCTTTCAAGTCAGCTATCTGCGAGGCGGGACCAACTCAATCCAACTCAGCTGCGAACTGCGAACTTAACTCAACTGCCTCACAATTGGAACTCAACTCAATTGCTTTTCACTCGCTGCGACTCTGCTTATATGGACGCCGACCAAAGCCGGGGTGGGCTTGTCGGGGTTTGAGGTTACTTGTTAATTCTAAATTCACAATCCACTACTTTGTTTTCGGTCAGGAAAATTTATTATTTTCCATTTTTGGAAGTCTTTTCGTCCTCCCACCTTCTTCTCTTCTCATATTGGTATCTCACCATACCCTTAGAGGGTGTCAACGGGTTTCCCCTCTCTCTCACAATGGCATCTCACACCTATCCCTTCAGGGGGGCGCAACAGGCCTCCCCTCCTTCTTCACATGATTACCTCCGCCTAACGCTCACGCCACCATTCAGCCTATGGGCGCTCAGCGGCGTGAGTGTGGCCAGACTAGCTTCGGTTTAAAAAATCTTGCTCAAAGAAAAAATTATCTTCCTTTCTCTTTTTTTCTTTTTCTTTCCTTTCTTTTTCTTTCCTTCTGCTCGACAACAAACCCTTGGTCTCTTATCTTAGCCAAATGTCACTTGGACTTTATCACCAGGGGCCTTCGCCAAACAAGTGGGTGGTCAATTAGACGTATTTACATTCTGTTGCTAATTAACTGTTCCGATACAATAGTTTCGCTATCATGGCCAGTCCCGACAATAAACAGATGCCTTTTCTAAACGACCCTTCCGCAGATAACTAATAGTTTAGTATTTTGTTTTTCTAACTCTGTGTGGTCCAGCGACATTTTGGTTTCGGTCAGTGCGTGCTTAATCAGCATTATCTCTTAGCACCCTGCGGGAGGTCCAGAGGACATCAACTTTAAATCACTGCCATGGGCAGATTGGATATATCTTACTCTCCGCCCCGTAACATAAATCAGATTAAATTCAGTATCTTCCTTTCTCGACAATGGAAATAAAAATTTTACCACTTTTCTTTGTTAGAAAAATAACATCGCTTAGTGTCCTTTTCGTGATGGCTTCTTATCACCTAAATTTAATTCTCGCTTTTTCTCTTTTTTCTTCTTTCTTTCTAGCAAGCCAAATAGTGTCACAGGTCTAAAACTGACCGCATGTTGAAATAAAGGAAAGTAAAGCTGTTGTTTCATTGAATTTGTACAAGAGTCTACTTAGCATTTACTGGTTGTTGTTTTTTGTATATATATATATATATATATATATATATATATATATATATATATATATATATATGTTCACCAGAGTCTAGTAAGAAATTGGCTGGTTTGAATGGCCGATGGAAGCAGTACGGTACTGACATGGTACATAACAAGGGATTTTGATAGGTAGCATCATCTGTTCTCACTTAGAAAATACGGCACATTAAACGATCACAGAAATGGAAGAAACTCATTACCAAAATTCATATGGGCGTCAGTTTGTATTAAGGGTGGGTCTCCCGACAAAATTCGCAAGAAAGTTTTAACATAAAATGCTCCAAAAAAAGACAATGAATTAAATATATAAATAAACTAATAGTAATTTTTAATCATTTGGCCCCAAGCAAAGCCACGAAAATGCAATGGTTACTGAGCGTCTTTGCATATAAGAAAATGCTATTAATGAAAGAGAACAATAAAAAGACAAGAATTAAAAAGAGAGAAGATAACGATAGACATTGCATTTAAAGTTTTAAAGATCAAACTTGACAGGAAAGCAAGAGGCCGAAAAAGATTTCCATAAGCGAGAAGTGCAATAGAAGAAACTGTTAACATAGAACTTACGGCTCCATCTAGCTAACTCAACTGTAAAATGATGAGACCTGCGCCTAAATTCATTAATTCTAGGTACCATAGACGAAAGGTCATCAGAACAATTACCATGAACGTATTTATAAGAAAAGTCACAGGGAAACTACATTAAGGCGGTGGGAAAGTTACTGAATCCGAGATGCCATATCAGGGACAATGACATTGCAGATTCTTCTTTGGGTTTTATCAAGAATCTCTAAATATATAGCTAGAGGACCAGAGCAAATGTGACAACAATATTCAAATCAAGGATTGTTGGTAGACTCATGAATATGTCAGATAGATTCTGGCGAGAAAAATTGTCTACCACAACACAGGGAACCAACTTTCCCAGTAGCAGATCTAGCAATTGATTCAATATAATCTTTCCATTTCATATCAGCTGAAAACTTTAGCCTGAGACGGCGCAATAAGTCACGCTCCTGGAGGTTAGCATCAGCCATGCTGATATAAAGTAAAAATGTTCTCTCAAACGATTAAAAGAAAACGGTTTCGTTTCGGTGGCGTTAAAATTAACAAATCATTCCTTGACCCAGTTAACATCACAATGTAGATCATTTTTTTAGATCAGCTGTCAATTCGACCTTATCGAACCGCTCAGATTTACTGTTAAGGCAGAAATAAATGGTTGTGTCGTCAGTAGTTCAAACAAGTAATTAAAATAGAAAACGACTAAAATGAGATGATCTCTTTAAAATTCGGTTAAAAAAGAAAACAATTTTGAATTAAAACAGACGCTCTTTTGACGTGTTCAAATAAACGCTCTCTATGCGGGAATAAGAGAGTCAGTTTATATGCATAGATAGAAAAGAAAATTCAGCGAGTTCCTTTGGACGTAAGGATGTGGACGAAAATGAACAGGCGGTAGCAAGCGGATCCTTCTTGTGGCACCATTTAACGAGGCAGAAAAAGAAAAGAAAGAAAAGAAGGCAGAAAGAGAGGCGAGACGAATCGTGAGTGATAAGCAGAACACACACAAGGCTAAGAGACAATGGATAAGGGATATTTTGATAAGTAACAAATGGCGAAAGAGTGTCATTACAATGACAGGGAAATTCTGAGTAAAAAGAAAGGGAAAGAAAGAAAGAATCAGATATGTTTTGGCGACGGCTGTGTTATCTAAGGATATGAAAACAAACTATGGGTACGGGAAGGCATTTTATTATCAACTACAGACCGACTGGCCAAAGAAAAATTCAAATGAAAATGTTATTTCGATAAGTGACGAAAAACAGGCAACTAAAAGGACTTTGGACAGATATGAAAAATTAAAAGCCACCCACGAGTGTCCGCTGACCGATTTCCTTCGACGGAACATTCTTGGCCTGCGATAATAAAATTATGTTATCAGAAATATGTACCGAATGGGAATGAATGGGAATTTAGAAATGTCTTTTCGGAGCGACGTTGGCCGTGTTAAGAAGACCACCCATTCGGATAATTAGCGATAAAATACCTGACGAAAACCACGTGTAGAACAAGAGTTATGACCGCCATTGTTCATATTGTCCCGTTTGCGGCTAGAGAAATGATAACGGCGATTAAGAGGAAGAAAAGGAAAAGAAGGGATAAATTTTTTTAGTTAAGCAAGATATTTTTTTTCTTCCGAAACAAAGCCGCGGATTTGTCCACGCCCGACTGAGACATCATTGGTCAAGTGGTGATCACGTGACGCACGAAGGAGGCTGTCGCCGCCCATCCAGAGTGTAGGTATGAGAAGCTGCTACGAAGAAGTGGGGAGGGCAGTTCACGCCCTCTGAAGTATGGTGAGAAGGTGGGAGTGAGGAAAGGTTCCCAAAAATGGAAAAAAGTGGAAATTCCTAACCAGAGAGGTGGATATGTATTTAGAATTATCAAGGAAACCCCGACGCCGACAGACCCACCCCGGTTTTGGTCGACGTCCATATAAGCGAAGCCACAACGAGCAGAAATCAGTTCCAGTGAGTTCCAGTTCCAATTTCAGTTTGAGTTGGAGTTGCAGCGAAGAGTCAGTCTCCAGTTGAAGCCGCCTGGCAGATAGCTGACCAAGATTCACGCAAATTCCGGACTCCTCTTCAACCCAAGAACAATTATTTTGAAGAGTGACTTAGATCCAGACCACCACAATAAGTTTTTTTCGACTTTCGTCCGAAGACACACCGAAAAACCAATTTCTTAGAGAGCAAACAACTTGAAGCGTTAAAATTCGCCTAACGGAAAACGACGTGTGACAATCCATAGAACGGGTCGGGAGATAGATGCAGTCCTATGTATCGAACAACTAGACATAAAGTTTGTTACCTTTTTCTTTAATACTTTGAACTTTTTGAGTTTTCATTTTATTTTCTTTTATGCATATTTGTGTGGTATCACCCCCGTTGAACTCGGTTTGCATTACGGCCCCAACCACTGATTGATCTCGTCTGCCTAAGATTAATTCACAACGTGGGTAGGCAGACTGGAGATCAATGCAGTTACCTTGGTAACCAGGCGTTGGAAGCGAGTTTGAAACGACGAGGCTGATATCAAATCTAACCAGATTCCCACCCGAGTCACCGAAAGGTTAGAACGTCACATTTGGGTGCCGCGACCGATACCAAGCCAGTTGGTCGTCACAGGACGAGACAACACGACAGACGCGACAGGCGGACGTCACGTTTGGAGCAGCGACACCCGAACGGAGCAGCGAGGAGCGAACAGCTGGCGCCGCGGCGAGGACGTCACAATTGGTGCTGTTTAGGGACGTCACAGTTGGTGCCGTGGTAGACCAGGATAGAACGTCACAGTTGGCGCTGCGACCAGGGGACGACGTCACATTCTGAATCGAGTGCGTCTTCTGACATTTTACTTGCCGGCATTGCTTTTATTTCATCTTGTTTCAGAGTTTCCTAATTTAGAACTAAACTGGAGGGTTATGATTGGTTTATTATTCTTCATCTTTGTCACGTGGTATTTTTTTTTTCTACTAAGCGTACGCAGTGAAACCGATTTTGAAATTTACATTAGGCCCAAAAGATTACTTTACGTGTGGTGATACGTGTGTAAACCACAGAGCTTAGACGAGGATTTGTTGTATGGATGGTATATTTTCTAGATTGTCTCACTTTCAATCATTTATTACACACTGTCCTGCACACCTTGTCTAGTCAACTGTTCCAAAGACTGCAAGAGTTCGAAAAATATCTAGAAGATTTAATTGGTTTAAAATCTAAATTCGTTCTTTTTTTTAATGAAGGCACAACTGGGTTAAAAGTTAATATATGATAGGAGAAAGCTAGAAAAAAATTCTGTGATACTAATGAATTTGATTAAAGAATGCTGAAAAGTCTGAAAATTCAAACATTCTCCAGTTCAGAATAAGTTCGCGAAAACTGACAAAAATATTTCTTATCAAAAACGATTTGGAACAAGTCAAATAAAACCGATTTATGGAAGTAATATTTTTCACTTGCATCTGCTAATCTTACTTTCAGAGAAAAAAAAAACTCCACCTACTTTCATTTTTTTTTTTTTTTAGTTAATCCCTTTGTTAAATAAGTGCGAAAAGCTACAGATGTCGGATTTTATCTCATCGTGATCACTTAGAGCAAAATCTCTTTAAACTCGTCAAATCTAGTGAACTTTAAAATCAATTATGGCGACTGAGAATAACACAACAGCCGAACTTGAAGTCGTGATGTTGCCAACATCTTATTAAACATTACAGACGATCGATATTTGTCGCTCTTGGCTCCCCCTCCCCAATTTCTCGGTGGAAGGCACACTGAGTACGGAAGCACTGACTTTAATAACTACTCAAAATAGAAATTATTCTTCCGCCTGGAATATTCTGCCTGCCCACCTGCAAATGCCAGCTTAACGATTTTTGATGACGCATCCGGTGTCTTGTCAACGAGGGAGACTGTGAAATAAACAAATATCGACGAGTTTTGTATGAGGAAATAATACATCGAACAGATTCAGTTGCTATCAAAGTGATTTTGCCATGAAGCCATTGTATAGAGTCATCACTTTCCCTGTGTTAGGAATGATCAGTCATATTTACTGTTTACAAGTTTTTAATAAAAGCATATGAAACGGACATTGAAATTAGTTTCTATCATTTCTGTTATGAGAAAATTTCATAAAAAATTATTATTATTTCCCTTCGTAGAAACGTCATAAGATATTCCTTTTGCCGGTACTTTAAATCAAATAACTTTTCTGAGATGAAAATAGTTCATAAATCAATATATATATATATATGTGTGTGTGTGTGTGTGTGTGTGTGTGTGTGTGTGTGTGTGTGTGTGGTGCAGTTCAGTTTATATTACAATGAATCATTCATACAAAAAGTAGATTAGTAAAGTTAATGATATAAAATGGCGAAATCACTTCGCTAGCAAACTTTTAATGGTGCATTAACCTACAAATCACTCGATGAATGTTATGATCCTTGTTTTAAAAATTATAAGCTGTATAAGGTCTTTCTTTAATACGCAAAAACAAAATATGACTGAAAAACAAAAGATGACTGAATGTGCAGTTGAAAGTACTTGCGTATTAAAAAAAAACTTATTGGTAGCAGAAATATGTTCTGTTCAAAAGGGTTTCTTGCCTGATGAAAAAGTGAAAAGAGATATCTATAGACGTTACCGCATGGTCAGGGTTGCCAAGAGGAAAGAGCTGCAGAGCATGACATGAGTCTGGAGAGGCAATAAGGACGAGATCAGGTAGAGAAACATACCCGTCAGAATTACTAGAGAAACACGTGTCGAAGTCAACTATTTGAGTGAGTGATTGAGCAATCAAGAAATACATCGCCTGGATGCCAGCGAGGTCAGTAGAGTGAGGAAGGCACTTGACATAATGGACATTGAAGTTGCCGAATATAAGGATATTTGGAAACGAGATGGAGAGGGTCCTTTATTTATATTTTCATAAATTCAATCTGGCAAGCAACAGTTATGAGAGGAAGGTTAACGATAAAGGGAAAAAAATGATAACATTGAGTTTATTAGTGAATGTTGGAAACTCACATAAAAATAATCTGGAGACTCAAATTATTTGCCAGTTGCGAACTTAGACGCAAAGGCCGTGCATATAAACACGAGAGGTTTTTTTTTTTTTCGAAAAAGAAAAAGGCATCCAGCAACAGGGAATTCAGTAGAATAGATTGAGAACTTCAGATTATTTTCACAGAGGGCTAGGTTATCTGGAGAACCTACAAGGAGAAATGATTCTACACTGCAGCAATTGCTACAAATGCCATGCATGTTGGAGGAAAAAAAAAGCTTTACCGGCTTTTTTCTTTTGTAAGCTGGTTTAGTTTGTTGTTTTTTTTCATAATGACCAGCACAGCCAAGCTTAGAGCATCTGGTATTCCCAAACGGTCACTCATCTAGGTACTGACAAGACTCGACATTGCTTAACTTCGGTGATCGTGAAAGAACCAGTGTTTGAAGGCATCTATACATATGAATAAAGGCAAAGTAAAAACAAAAACTTCTCTTTTGCCTTATATATATATATATATATATATATATATATATATATATATAGCAATCTTCTATGTCAAAATAACAAAATGTCATCTTTGATGATGTGAGACGAAAGCTTTTGACCAATTCAATAAAAACATATCCAAATTTTGGACAATATTTGTCTTTAATTTCACCAGAAATTAAAACAAACATATTAACATTAGAACGGCTCATCATCAGATATAATAGACATCCATTGTCTGTTATATTTAATAATATATGTTTAATTAATAGAGAGAGAGAGAGAGAGAGAGAGAAATTATTTTATATTATATTTATTTATATTAATATATATATACATATAATATATTTATATTATTTTATATTATTTGAATTAATATATATATATATATATATATATATATATATATATATATATA